CCTAGTTCCAAAGAATCAAAGGGTTAGGACTCATTACTCGGACCAGAGATTGAACTCTTTGTTGACAGGGATTTAGATATACATTAAATGACGTTTAAATTCACTAAACTGTGGATAACTTGGAAAATGGAACGACAAAAACTATGGACTAATTAAGTTGTTCGGTTCAAAATTCCAACAAAATTACCGAGTACAAGAAATATCTGAAAATGGCCGAAGAGTACAATGGCTGAAACGATTTGAGTTTAAAAGCCAAGATGAATATACTGGCTCCAATAGAGAAGTTTTTCTTGAATGTGAATTGTTTATTTTTTCTTTTTTTTAAATAAACTATTGTTAACGGTTTCACCCCAATCAAGACGCAAGGGTTGGCTGGAAACGGAAAAGAATGTAAAGAGTTTTAGAAGTCGAAATAACAATCAAAGGAAAGGGTATTAAGGGAGGCAGAAGATGATGATTAACGTTGCATTTAAAATTTAGAAGATTATCGCTGACAGGGAAAATAGAAATCGGAAGAGAGATTAAAGTATTAAAATAGAACTTAAGATTACATCTAATCCACTTACTTTTTTTTATTATTATTACAGTTGTCCCTCAGGGCTTCATTCTTGGTCATATTTTGTTAATTTCATCAATGACCTTCCCGATGACATCAGCTTTCAATCTTGGTATCTACGTTGATGACTTAACCATTTAATAGTATCATTAATGTCAAAATGGTAGCCGATGTCTAAAACGACCCCCAGTCTTTTATTAACTGGGGTAAAATATGGCTTGTTAATTTTAACCCCTCCAAAACTAAACTTCTCTCCATTAATCACCTGAGATAGCCGTCTCTGTCTTTCACCAACATGGCTGATGCTAACCTCCAGAAAAGTGACTCATTTGCGCCTTCTCGGGGTAACATTCTCAACTGATATGAAGTAGAAAAACTATATTGAATCCATTGCTAAGTCAGCTGCTAACAAAATTGGTTCATTGTGTCATGTAAGACAAATTTCTCTTCAGAATCTACATCACATATCTATAAGTCTTGAATTCGTCCACGATTAGAATATTACTGCCATAATACGGTCCTCTGTTCCTAGTATTTACCTTGAGCTCCTTGACAAAATCTCCAAAAAGAATCAACAATATTATCGGTCCTGATCTGGTGGCTCTGCTTCAATCACTTTCCCACAGCCATAAGGTTGCCTCTCTGTGTCTTTTTTATAAATATTTTCATGCTAGTTGTTCAGTTGAACTCTTCGCCAGGGTACCTAGATTTTATGAATTTAAACGTAGTATTAAACTGGCGTCGGGTTTCCATCAAGTTAAAGTTGAGCTGAATAGATGTAACCGGAAGTACTATGCTAACAGTTTCTTTTCTCGCAAACTTCTTTTCTCTAGCCACTATTTTTTCCCATATTTCTGGCAGCAATTGAACTCCAAACATTTCTTTTGAGGCTAACCACGAGTCAACCCATTTTTTTGGTATCTTCATAAGAATGAAAGCAATGTTCAGCCAGGCCTTGTACCATCGATCGGAACAAGTGATAATCGGACGGGGCAAGTTCTGGTGAATACGGCGTGTGGGGTTAAGACTTCCTATTTAAGCGTTTCCAAGTAGGTTTTCATGTGGCCTAGCATTGTCATGTTGCAAATCACTTTGTCGTATATAGCGGCAGTTTATTCTTCAATGCTCGGCTCAAATGCATTAATTGTAGTCGATAGCGATCTCCCGTGATGTTTTCGGTCGATTTGAGCAGCTCCTAATAAACTACATTCAGCTGATCTCCCCAAATGCAAAGCAGGAGCTTTGAACCGTGGATATTCGGCTTCGCCATGAAGGTTGATGTATGGCCGGGCTTACGCGACGATCTTCTACGATTAGGGTTATCGTAGTGTATCCACTTTTCATCGCTGGTCACGATACGATGTAAAAAAACTTATCATTTTCTGCCGTTGTAGCAGCTGTTCACACAAGACAAGACGTCGTACGGCACCCAATGTCCTTGCTTTTGAATCATTCCTTTTCGAAACTGTTGTGTGATCAAATCTTAATGATTCTGCAAGTTCAGCTTGCGCCTGACATGAGTCTTCATGAAGTAATGCCACCAATTTTTCGTCTTCAAACTTTTTCGGTGCGCCGGAGCGTTTTTTTTTATTTTCAACATCAAAATCATTATTTTGGAAGCATCTAAACCAATCTCTGCATGTTGTTTTAGACAGAGCATGATCGCCGTAAGTCTCAACAAGAATCCTGTCTGCTTCAGCTGCAGATTTCTTCTGAATAAAATAGTGCAGTAAAATTCCCTGTAAATACACTTTCTTTGGCACGAAATCCGACATGTTTAACGCTATGAAAACAAAGTTGTTTACACTTCGGCGAAATGACATACACTGAATTTCAAGCTTGCTTATAGTACTTCCTTACAGATACGTTAACATTTGAAACTACGGGCACGCAGTTCTGGGAACGCCATCTGTTGGTAAACAGCGAGAACAAATCCATGGTTCTAATATGAAATATATGAAGCGCAGGGATGTCATTTTGAGTTTAATAACAAAGTACTGTAAAGTCGAGAGAAGGAAATCTTTGAACACCATTATGTTTTTGAGATTTGTTCTAATGGAAATTCTTAAATACATACAAAGTCAGAACATCACGTTTCTACAAACTTGAATGGTGAGCAAAATGAGGCATCAAGACAACAGCATAAAAAATTAAATTCTTTAAAACAAATTTGATCTCGGTTAAATATTTTCAAATTAATCTCATTTATACAAATTCATATGAAGTCAGTCTTTTTCTCCTATCTACCATGTCCCTTCAAGATGTGAGCGATCATGACTCTCCACAACTTCCTATCCTTTGTAGCTCACAGCAAAACGTGCCTCTTTCTACGTTCCGTTATCCATTCACACAATCTCGTCAAGTAGATAGTCCGCTGTATTCGCCTGTCCCTTTTCATTGTGATATGAGTATCAAATTCCCCAAACCCTCATTCCTCATTATATATCCAAGAAATTTCAGCTGTCTCTTTCTGATTTTGAATGTCTTTCTTATTTCAATTTTCTGTAACACTTCTTTGTTGACTACGCACTAAGTACATGGTTATTCTCAGCATCCTTTTGAAGAACTACTTTTTCAAGCATTTACTGCCATAAAGAAAAATTGCTATTACATAAGAGTTGAACAGACTTTTTTAACGAAATTTTTCTGTTTCTTAATAATTTACTTAGTATTTGGAAGGCATCTTTCCGTTGCGTGTTCTTATTTCAATAAGTTATTTTGTTAACTAGTAAAAATCAAGATATCCTCCCAAGGATATAGACATATGTATATTTCAGAGTTATTCTTCAGTTTCATAATAGTATTGATAATTCCATATTATTTTCTATATAAAAGAATAAATTTTATTTTATCGCCTCTCAAAGACGGTAAAATCGTATTGATTAGTTGATGGGGTCTGTTTTGCGGCATAGCAAAACGTTTTTCACGTTATTTAACGCCGATTTCTGTTCTACAATAGACTGGTAGGCATAGGTTTGGTGTATACGATAAAGAAGACACTGGTTTGGTTTACACAACAAAGAGGTAGATTCAAGTTCGTTAAACTAGGGTAGGTTTATTTTTCATTTATTTAGAAACTCAACATTGCACTCGGTATGAAAGCTAGGGTTTCATGTGATAAGTACAGAAAACAAAAATGGATGTAATAAGTACAGACAACAAAACTTAAAACTTAAAGACTGTCTGAAAAATGTACAAAACTGCCTAATTTCCGAAGGTTTTTACTTCCAAACTGACTTCAAAATAATCCAAATGAATGTGATTATTTTGTATTAGATAAATTCTAATTATCAATCACAATAAGCAAAATATCCATTTTTTTTTTACTGTATTCGTTAAGGAAAAACTGTGCTAAAGTTGTAAAAGATTACAAAATTAATAAGATTTTTTCCATCCTTTGTTAAATCATAATTTTTAAAAATAAACAAGTTGATAAAAGTGTATACAATATCATAATATTGTTGGGCACAAATTATAAGATAAAATGTTTCAAATTGTCATGGTTCTTTGAAAATCACACTAAAAGTACTAATCACACTAAAAGTACTAATCACACTAAAAGTACTGCAGTATATGACATTACATTGTAATATAACTAAATTTTTCAGTACAGTTTCCATTTTAACTAAATGAAGGTCTTATTTAATGGCATGATGATTTAGTGTCATGCATCATGTCCATATGCAATTTGTAAATTATAAATTTTATAAGGATGTGCTGTACTGTAATGATTTTAGTGGTTACCGGAATTAAATTGATTTTGAAACTAAACTTTTTGAAACTAAAATGTTTCAACTCGTTTCCTCAAAAACGGTGACTATTTGGAAAAAAAAATGTGACGTTATTTATCATGTCAAACCATAACTTGTAAATCGTGAGCAATACCACGATTCTAAATTCGACCTGCTCTATTGGTAGATATGCCAAAGAAGACAATGCTTTGGTATGTACGACAGTGCAAAAGGTAGATATATGTACAATAAAAAAAAGTTTACCCCCAAAAGGGACGACTTGTTTACTATACATGGATGCAGCCGGCGTATTTTTTGCCCAAACCGAGAGGAAAATGTTCAGGTGAACGTGGAATAGAATTATTTACGACTCCATGAATAGAGAAACACACACCTCCAATCTTATCAACCAAGGGTGTTAACCATTACAACATAGAAGACAATTTTTATAGAGTATAATTTTTAAAGAATTAGTTATAAAAATGAAAAAGTCTTGCATTATTTTGCCTTATACAGTAACAAAAAGGAGTGTAGGGAGATTCTGGTGCATCAAACCTTAAATGCATTAATTAAAGAGAGAGGTGGGGGTGTTGCTTTCAGAAGGAATGGTTTTATCACGTTCTTAAATTATGAATAAAGTGAGTTCTATCATCAAAGACTCAACGAATATATCCGATAAAGCTAAATTCTTCTGAAGGATAAAAGACGAACGCATGAAGAAAGACGGAAAATCCGGACCCCCTAAAATGCAAAACATGACGATCAGAGAAAGCTACGACAATGGCAAAATGAATCCAGCCGTCATCATCGTCTTTCGTGCACCGACAAAAAATGTATGGCGATTATTTTGTCTTCGATAATCATGAAATATAGAGATTATCAGCGAATGAAAATGGTGCTGCCAGTCATACAAAAATCGTTGTGTGACAACACGAATGACGTCTGTCTTTAAAGAATTTCTCATTTCTCCACCCACGTCCGCTTGGATATTATTTATTTATTTTAAGGGTGGGAAAACATAACTGGATGTTCTTTACTTGATTTCGCTGAATAGGGCGCTAATCTTGTTTGGGTTCTCCTCTGCATCTTCATGTTTTTGTATTAGCTTTCTTTTTTTTTTCCTTTCTCATCCTTTCTTTCAATTTCAATTTCTTTCTTTCTGTTATATTTCTTTCTTTTTCTTTCCTTCATATTTTCTTTCGTCATTTTTCTTCATTCTTTCTTCTTCCCTACAATTCTTTTTTTCTTTCTTTTGTTTGTGTTTGTTTGTTTCTTTCTTTCTTTCTTTAATCGTTCCTATTTCTTTTCTTCTCTTTTCTCTATTTTTCTTCCTTTTTTATTTCTACTTTTTATTCATTTGTCTTCCTTTCTTTCTTTCTTTCTTTCTTTCTTTCTTTCTTTCTTTCTTTACATTCTTCATATCTATCTTTTTTACTTTTTCTTTATTCTTTTCTCTCTATTTCAGTCAGCGTTCCTATGTTTCCTTTACTTTTTTTTCATTTCTTTCTTTATGCTTCTTCTTTATCATTTCTTTCTTTTACTTACTTTCTTTTTTCTTCCTTCTCGAATTTTTTCCGTTCTTATCTGCCCCGTGCTAGCTAACCAGTAGCCGAGGGTAGCACCGAGGGGAGATACTTACCCGTTTCTAATGGTATTTGCGAGTAAAGTGATGTAAAAGACTTTCCGAATTCACATTCAGAGTCGCTAGTCATTATAGAAATGTACATACCATAATATTCATAAAAACAGCAGACATCATTCTCCTCCCTCTCCCTGTATATATATCATGGAGACAAAAATTTCAATATAAGGTTTCTTAGGGGAAAGAGAAAGGGAGATAGACATGGGTAGGGGAGAGGGAAAGAGAGTGAGAGAGGGAAAGAAAGGAAAGAGGGAATTAAGCATACTAGACAGGGTGACCCAGAAATAGTGTGGGGGAAGGGGGCGATCATATTCAGTATAGATACATTGAAACTGTCTAGTCATTATAAGCAGCAAAACCTTCATCATTATATTATAACCGTCATAATTACAAAATGATGATGATGATGATGATGATGATAATAATAGTAATAATAATAATAAAATAATAATAATAATAAATAATAATAATAATTGCCATCAATATAATGAAATAACATAAAGTAAAAAAATTCAAGTAAATTCAAATAAAATGAGGATTTTTTAACAATTAAAATTATATACACACACACACATATATATATATATATATATATATATATATATATATATATATATATATATACATATATATATTATCGCTCAACAATAGCAGGACTCATGCACAAGGTAGTTTTCAGGTACTGAGTATAGACTGACATTTACGAAATTTAAATTTTAAAAAATATCTGTTTGTCCCAATGCTGGCGTAGTTATATATTATACTGAAATTACAGTTTTTAATTTTTTAAATATATATGGCATTTAAAATAAGGGAATTGTATATATATATATATATATATATATATATATATATATATATATATATATATATATATATATATATGCGTAAAAAATTATTTTAGAACTGCAAATATTATTTTTAAGTAAAAAGGGAGATTACTTGATATTTAAAAAAAAATATATATATATATATATATATATATATATATATATATATATATATATATATATAAGTTGTGGACAGAATTATTCGGTTCCACTGAACATTAGTGTGCGAGTCCTTACTGAATTTATCATACGTAGTTAATTCCGTATTTAGAATTTTCAACATTATTCGCTCCTATGGAAATTATGAACTAATATTGCTGTATAGCAATTATAATGGTGTTTTTCTTAATTTGACATTTAATACATAAACCTTTTGAAATTGAAATAGTATTGATCTGATTCTATATCATTCTAAAGATAATGAAGACGATGTATGAGTGCCACGTACCGCGAAAATTCATTCATTCTGCAACCATGGCAAAAAAGACAGAACTTGACAAGAAGCTCCGAATGACGATAATTGATGCGTACAAACAAGGTGATGGAAATACAACACTTTCTAAGCGTTTAAATGTTCCAAGATCAACGATTCGTAGCATTATCAAGAAGTACAACGAGACTCATTGCGTTGAGAACAAATTAAGAACTAGGAGAAAATGGTTAATTTCTGAGATAATATAAAGGAAAGTTGTTAGGAATGTCTTGAAAATTCATGGCTTAAAAACAAAGGATATTGTCAATGATGTAAAGACATCAGGGTTGAATGTATCGATGAATACAATCACTTCATCATACAGGACTTCGATGTTGTCGCCCAAGGAACACATATTTGTTTAAGGCTAAACACATAAAATGCAGATTAGCTTATTCTAGAAGCCATGTAGAATATCGGAGTAACTCTGAAAAATCTTATGGTCAAATGAAACCAAACTAGAATAATTTAGTCGCATGAACTTCCGTTATGTATAGAGGAAAGGGAAATAAGTTCAGAAACCAGAAAAAAAATGACCACCCCTGCAATAAAGCATGTTTGTGGGGTCATTTTTCTCTGGGGATGTTTTGCTTCTTCTGGACCAGGAGAACTAGCGAGAGTAAAGGGTATCATGGATAAAGAGCAGCATTTGGCATTTCTTCAAAATAATATAAAATGAAGTACATGAAAGCTGCTAATGGGGCGTCACTGGATGTTTCAACATGACAATGATCCAAAACACACGGCACGAATTGTTACAAAATATTTAGATGACAGCAAAATTAATATATTACCGTACCCCGCACAATGACTTAAACCTCATTAAAAATTTATGGACATATTCGAGGGAAAAAGTAAGAGAAAGAAGTCCTTCTAATTTGAAGAAAAAATAGTGCAAAATAGCTATCAATAAGTGTAGTAATCATGTAATGAACTATCAAAGATGAAGGCAATAATCAAGAATAAAGGAAACAAAATTGATCACTGAGTCAAGAGGGCCAATACTTTTAACCTTTAGGAAATGTTTCTTTGGTGGTTTTTGTATTATTGTTTGGCATAGAAATAAAGATGTTTATGACCATCACTGCACATTATTTAAAATCCATTATTTCATTATTCGTGAAAAATGCATGAGGTTTCTATAAAAATTGAGGTATTATATATATATATATATATATATATATATATATATGATATTAAGCGCTTTCTAATAAGTACCGCGCATATAATATATAAATAATTATACATGTATGTATGTATGTAAAAGTGGACATTGAAGTCAACACTCAGAAGCGACAGGCTGTTTCATGCTGGACGATTGCATCCAGCATGAAAGAGCCTGACGCCTCTGAGTGTTGACTTCAATGTTTACTTTTATATTTATATACGCTCTATCTCTGATGTTGAGCACTTTATCCCATAAATATAGCACAACTTAAAACTATATTTCTTCATATATATATATATATATATAATTATTTATTTAAAAATATGATTCCAATTCGCGACATAAGAGGTCTCATGTTTCAAAACAAGAGCCGAAAACTTCAATATAATTATTTGAATTAAATTGAGTTAAATTGAGCTCTGTTACATCTTCAAGCGAAATTTTTTTTTGGAATAACTTATTTCAGAAATTTACGTGCTTTAATAATTGAAATCAAAATTTCCATGGTAACAGCTAGGGCGAATTGTTTAAATTGGGTAGGCGTGTGTTGGGTGTTAATAATAAGTATCAGTATAGAGTTACTTTCATAGATGTCAAGTCAGGGAAAAGTGGGGGTGTCTAAATTTGAAACGGGAGATGTTTTCGGCTAGTCTGGTTTACGTATCTACGGAGATTTATATATTTTTTATTTTATTTCTTTATGAAAGGGTTTTGCATATATAAAACTGCCGTAACTTTTGTTTTTTTGACGACTTCATAAAGGGTTTTTTTTTTTGTAGGGTATTTAAACTATTTATTTTGGCTATGGATTATAAAAGTTATTATATTGTATGCTTGTTTTTAGCTAATCATTCAAACCATAGATTTGATGATGATGACAGAAAACCGTTAACTCATGTCTATTGTTTAATAGATTATTATTATTTAGAAATTTAATAATATGCAGCTTCTCATGGAGGCACAAAGGCATGGGTCAGCCCAAGTTTTACATTTTCTAGTCCTGTATATATATATATATATATATATATATATATATATATATATATATATATATGGATTAGGGCAGCATTGCGTTAACCAGTTATAATTAATAAAATTTAAATTATGTAGTGGGAAATGTTTACTTTATCGGAATAAGATTGTTATGTTGGCACGACTGCACATGCGCACGAACAATAAGTGGAGGTGATTTTAGAATATAAAAATTAGATTTTCGAATATAAAAATATTATGAAAAAAAGTCTAAAAATTTCTAAAACACCCTGGACCCTACATTCGTGCGCATGTGTAGATAACAAATTTTGTCCGATAAAATCCTGACATGTCACAAGTAAACTTTTTCGACTTTGTCGTACAATTTTCCCAATGTTGTTCTTGATATATAGAAATATATATCATTATATCATTTACACACACACACACACATACATACATACATACATACATACATACACACACACACACATATATATATATATATATATATATATATATATTAAATAATTCCTGTTTTCTAATAGCGATATAAATATATATCATTCTATATATATATATATATATATATATATATATATATATATATATATATATATATATATATATATATATATATATATATATATATATATATATTAAATAATGCCTGTTTTCTAATAGCGATATAAGCATTAATATTATTCGAGAAAAGAATTACGAAAAACACCTCGCACAAATCGTCAAGAAGAAAAACATATTTAATTCGTATTTGTAACTTTGTTTGATCGCATCAAAATTCATTCTTTCTTGTTCAATGTTATTTACGGATTCATTTTTGAAGTTACAACACTTGCCTGAGGCTTTTGAAAGACTGCGGAAAATATGGAACGTGATCCAATGCTTGATTCCACGATATTTTTACTCTCTAGCCTTCATTAAATCAGACATTTTAGTTCTTTGATTTCCCGTTTCTTTAACATTTTATATTCGCCTTAACAAACATTATTTCACTGCTAAGATTTTTTATACAAAACTCTTGTTGAAACTTTTATTGCGTTATATTTTTACTAATTTCTTTCGTGTGACTAAAAATGTAGTTTCTCCTACTATATCAGGTGTTACTTCGGAATTGATCATGGTTCTCCACAACTTCCTCTGATTTGTAGATCTTGGCAATGTTTGTCTTTTTGCTATCTATTCTAATGACTTGTCTACCATATAGCTTCTTAGGTAGGTTATCTGCAGCATGTGGATGTCACATTTTCTAAGCCTTCTTTCCTCATTATGCGATCTAGAAATACTAAACTGCCTTTTTCGGATTCTAAGTAGAACTGTCCTTTCATTTTCCTTAAAACGTCCTCCTTGATCACATGTTCAGTCCATGATATTCTCACGATCTTTTTCTAAAATCACGTACATGTCAGATAATAGATTATTATTTATATCTGTCGGCCTGAATATTAAAAAAAATACTAAAGAGGGCGCATATTTTTCTAATAACATTTCTCGAATATTCCTATGC